ATATAACAAAAATATTGTGTATAAAAGCTTCAAATCAAGGATTAGCCTAAATTGGCAATAACTACAACTTAAATTAAAAATTATACCCAACTAGATCTTTACTGTGGCTATGCAACTTCTTGTTTTGTGGCCTGTAGGTTTTTACTGAGATAATAACCTATTATCTCTTGCTCTTCTCTCACCCTTCTGCCACCACAAAAACAAAGGAATAAACCAATCAGCTCTTCAGCTTCCTTTCTCAGGGTTGTCTTTGGCAGTGCTTCCAAATTTTGAAAGCAAAAGAAACTGCTAAAGTAAAGAATAAGATGAAAACACTATATATGATGTATGAAAATCAATCTAAGACTATGAACTGAGAAAGAAAATACCAGAAGGAAGGCTGAGTAGCAGTCTACCCTCGACAGCAACAGAAAATACAAAATGGGGGTTGGGGAAGCAGCTGTTACTCCTCTGGCCCTTCTTCCACATTATTTCCCGATTAGAAGAGTATGGAACCAAAATTTCAAACTCTGAAAAAGGTAATGACTTTGGAGAAGGAGCTAGGGAAGTGAATAAATGATAAAGAAGTACAGCAGTAGCTTCAGCTGTCAATGAGTTTCTTTGCTCTGGCATTGGCAATGTCAATACGATCTTTGTTGGTGTCAGCCTTTTCTGTGATCCGTTCTATTTGTTTGTTTTGAGCTTCGATCTCAGTGCCTATGTCCAGAGCCATATTTTTCAGATTTCCCAGGATACTGCCCACTTGAGTCAGGTTCTCTTCCATTTCATCTTCTCTGGCATCATTAGTTATACGTTTAATGTATCCTCCGCTGGCTGCTCCTGTTGTTGGTTGCTGAGGCTGACCATTTGCCGCCCGGCCTGGCTGCTTAGATATTACGTTGCTAGGTGAGTTGTCTCCGCCATCTCCCCATGTCGTCTTATAGGCCTTACCAGACTCAAAGTTCTTTGTTCTATTACATGGGCAAACACAAAGGCCACAGCACTTGTTGAGCTCTGTTAAAGTCTTCTCTGCCTCTCTCATGTCTTTATTTATTTGGTCCATGCCTTCTTCTATGCGATTTAGTTGTTCCCCTTGTTCATCCAGCATAGTGATGGTCTCGATTCCTGCATCCTGAGACTCAATGGCTAAACCCAGGATTCTCCTTGTACTTTCCAGAGACTCATCAGTAACCTGGTGAGCCCTCTGCTGAATTTCTTCTGATGACAGATTATCCATGATGAATCAAAACTGTATCAGGCACAGAAACAGAAATGTAGATATTCAAGCGGTTCCGGTCACTCCTCTCCGGCCTCGGCAGCTCGGACACCCCCAGACCGGACCTCTGATTACTGTATGTCTTTACGCAGATTGATCAGTAAGAAAAAATTCTAAGTCTACTATTATTGGTTGCAACCACCCTGGCTAAGAAACTGTAGGAATTCTAGAAGTCTGACCAAGGAGTTTAGAAATGGTAAAGGGTAATTGCTTCCATGAGTTCTCACGGTGGTGACGAGTATTAAAAACAATAAACACTGCCATTTATTGCGCATTTATTGTGTGTCACATCCAATTCCCAGTACTTTAGCTATATTAACTCATTTAACCCTCACAGTAATCGTACCATGTAGGTACAGTATTATCCCCATTGTACTGCTGAGGAGACTGAGGAACACAGTTCAATTCACTGTAACAAAGCAGCTAAAACGCATCTCTGGAAAGGATACATAACTTTCCCAAGTTCACACAGTAAGAGGAGGACCCAGCGTCTCTGCCACTTTCCTTTCAAGAAATGATGGTTCCTCGAACTAGGATAGTTGTTTTAGGTACAGAGAGAAACGTATATTTAGGAAGAGTATACACAGGAGAGTCTGTAAGAAAAGACTCTCCCCTAGGACGGGAAGAGCACTGCCTCCGGCTGTCTTAAACGAGGAACACTTAGCATTAATAGTAATAACAGCTAACATTTATTGATGTTACTATGATATAAATCCAGATGTAGCTTAACTAGCATTTACTGAGCACTTCCTGTTTGCTTCTATTTGCTAAGTTCTGTGCTAGGTTTTTACACCTACATAATAATACTAATATAAACTCACGTGTTGAATCTTCTGTCTTTGATATTTTATGGATTTTCATCAAACTCTGTCCTTTACTTAGAGGACAAAGGGCAGAATTTTGGTTTTAAATCAAAGAAGAAAGGAAAGTCAGAGTCACCATGGACTCTGGACTCGGATCCATGCTGTGTCCCCTTTCCCCTCTGCCTCGTGCCAGCTGTGTGTTCCTGGGTAAGTTGTCTCACCTTCCTGTCCCTCACTTGCCTCATCAGTAAAGGGAAGATGATGACACCAACATCCCTGGGCTGCTCAGTGCTGACTAGACCTGGTATTATATGATGGCCCCAGTGCTGCCCTGCCCGGGGAAGGTGCCCCACAGACGGCCCCTGTGCCCAAAGGTGTCCGGCATCCTCTGGCTGTCTGGGCGCCCTCCCTCCTCCCTCGACAGTCAGTCAACCTGATTTGAGGAGCGGCTCAATTTGACGTATTGGTAACAAAACACAGGAAGACAGAAAGAAGAGACGTAGAATTGTGAGTGTGAGAAAAGTAGGTATATGTTCCTTAGTCAATATTCTCATATGTAATTTTAAAACTCATTTTACAATTCACTAAGATTTTTGTTAAGAGCTTGGAATTTTAATTGTGCCACTGGATGTCACTGTTGATAAATGCACACTTAGGTAAAGCAGTGTCAATTGTTGGCTATAAAAAACATAACTTAAAAGCAAATCAGCTATTCAGCATTGATAATTGTGGAGATATTCTCATTTTATAGTTGAGGTAATACCATTTTCAAAACTCCCTTCCAGCAAAATTCTCCTGTTTGTCTAAACATATCCTATCTGCTTAGTCACACCTGAAAAACCACCAGAACAAGCTGATTTTTAGACTGTATTAATCTTTGTTTGGAAAATTCATAAAATGATTACACATACACATTAAAAAAACCCAGCCTATGATATATCTCAGCAAATACTTGAACGATCGTATATGAATATTGTTATTTATCCAGACAGAATAATCTAGGACACATACAAACACATATGCACAAATAACATTTGAAAAAAATATTGGAAAAAGAAATAACTAAAGGAAGACGTGGGTCAGAGCCCGTGTGTTCATATCTGCTGTGTCACAGTCAGACGACGAAACAGGCTCCCTGGATGCGCAGCAAGACCGTGCAAGGACATATGGGATAAGGCTGAAAATCACCAGGGCTGGGTCCTAACAGGGCTTCAGGTCTTTAAATGCAAAAGAAAATCCATTCATTCACGGCTTCACAAAGTAGCAGACCACAGGCGCGAGGCCCTGTGCAGCCCTCCTTCACTGCCTTCTACTCACTTTTTGTAACACGAGGGGGACTTTCACGCCAGGGTCTTTCCTGCGGTCATTTTCCAGGAGGACTGTGAGTGGAACTCCAAAAATCCCACTGTCTTCAATGTAGAATCGTCAGGGGGAAAGAAAAAAGAATCAGAAAGCACCACTTTATTCCAATGTGTCAAAAAGTCTTAAGAAGCAATCAGTCTTTTTAGTTACCTCGCCCTTTTACTTTCTCTGTTTTGTTTCTTTTCAGCTGAATTCCAAAGGCATCGAAGAAGGCAGTCAGCTCAATCAGAGAGAGGTGTCGGATTTTCTTCATGTCTTCAGCAGACAGATCTCCTGCTTCGGTTAAGCCAAATCGGGTTTTCTGAACAATGAGTTTCTGAAATATAAAATGAAGGTGTTGTTTTTTATGGCAAAGGAAAATTATTATACCTTCATTCAAATGCCACCTGGATGTTCTAAATCTATATAGCAAAAAATCTCTAAGGAGCACAATGAATCATAGAAACATTATGAATATGCTTTTTAGAACATTTGCAGATCACTACTGTGCTAATTAGAAACAAGACAGTAGTCTGAAGTATATGATAACACTGCCGTTGCAACTGTGGAAACTACCGTCTTACAGGGAACATCCTGTACTGTCAAACAACATATATGCCAAGCACTACGTGGAATGTACATAGCATGGCCCTTAGCCTGGATCACACATGACACACACACACACACACACACACACACACACACACACACACCAGGCAACATATCTAGATAAGTCTCAGGAGAGCTTTAGATGTATCTTTTTTCGGGGTTAGGGGGTCAATCCTTAGATCAGGCTTCATCTATTTCGTTCTGCGTACTTTAAAAGATTTTACTAATCTCCCAATTTATACCGATTACATGCGCTTGCTTAGACAACAGTTTTTCTATCTTAAAAATCACATTTAAGATGATTCCAATTTCTTAAAAAAGCCAAAATGCACATAATGCATTTATGCAAATAATTCAACTATGATTTTGAAGACAATGATACTATTATATTCTCCATTTCCACACTAAGAAACGAAATACACCAAAACAATGACAATGAACCCTTCAACAATCCAGAAATATTGTGAAGAATCTAAGCAGTAAAGCAAGACTGTTCTTTTTTTTTTTTTTTTGAGACAGAGTCTGTCTCTGTTGCCCGGTCTAGAGTGCCGTGGCATCAGCCTAGCTCACAGCAACCTCAAACTCCTGGGCTCAAGCGATCCTCCTGCCTCAGTCTCCCGAGTAGCTGGGACTACAGGCATGTACCACCATGCCTAGCTAATTTTTTCTATATATTTCTTTCTATTTTTTAGTAGAGACGGGGTCTCGCTCTTGTTCAGGCTGGTCTCAAACTCCTGTCCTTGAGCGATCCACCCGCCTCGGCCTCCCAGAGTGCTAGGATTACAGGCGTGAGCCACCGTGCCTGGCCAAGACTGTTCTTACGTACTATCCACAGGTACACTTTGCTCTCAGAAAGCCTGGTGTTGAAAAAAATGCTAAAGTAGAAAAATCCCATAGCTACTTGAATTACAAAGCTTTAAGTATACATTCTCCACAGGGGTTCTCTAAATTAGAGGTTCCTTGGGGTTTTCAAACCATCTACTCATTCATTCATTCATTCATTCATTCAACAATTGTTCCTTGGAACCCCAAGCATTTAAAAGTAAAACTACAAAATGTAGAATGCAATTTGGGGAATATCTTGTGCTATGAAACACTTATTTTACCTTCTTTTGGAAACCAAAGCCCCACATGAAAGTCATACATAACAACAACAATATAAGCAAGACCTGCAATCATTTATCGAGCAATTACTGTTGTGCTAAACCCTCCGAAAAGCTCTTCGTGGGAAGTCGACCTGCATCCCAGGTGAGCCACACCTCAGGAGGCAGCGACTTTGATTAGGAGACCTGGGCCAGCATCCTCTCCTGGATGATTCTCTCTAGAGATAAGGAGGGACTACCGCTGAAACCAGAGTGCTACTGGCTTCCTTCTTTGCCCTAGAATGCCACTTTGCCCTCCAACCTGGAGACTGCTTAGGCACCAGGGAGGGTTTTGGAGTTTGACACACTTAGGTTTAAATCCTGTTTCTGCCTCCTACCACCTGTGGGGCTTTGGACATGTTACCTAGCCTCCCTGGCCTCAGTTTCCTCAGCTGTCAATTGTGAATAAGCACTAGAGCCCACCTTACAATTAGAACACCCAGCACAGCGTTAGGCCCGTAGAAGGTGCTCAGTGAGTCTTAGAGAGTTCTTCCCCGTCCTCTTCCTCTCCTCTGTCAAGGAGGGGTTGCCTGGGAATGGTCCAGGTCACCTGGTGCAGAGTCTGTTTCTAGATGACTCATTCCTTTAGCTCTGCAACTGTCTGGGCTCTGCTCATCCTGCCTCCAGCCCTGATCAGCACAGAATACTCGGGACTCCACAGCAGTTCTCACACATGCATTTATTGAACAGCAAATGGATCAAGGTAACACAGCTCTATATTAGGCTTCCGGGATACAATATCCTGGATATATATAAGAGGATTTGAGGCTAACATAGTATATAGCTCTCTTTGTGTATCGCATAATAATATCAATTCTTGAATTGGTTTTAATGAGTTTTTAGCGTCTGTTCTATGAGCTCTAACTTCTTGATGTTATGACTGTGACTTTCTGCCGTACTCCTTCTGATATGTGGCTTATGGAGGCACAGGTGCAGGAAATTAGGGTCTGTATTGACTTATAAGTGAATTAAGGATATAAAATGCAAGAAAGCTCACAAGCCAGGTGGAAATCCTATTATATCTATAAAACAGTATTTAAGCACACACCCTCATAACCTTTCCTCAGCCAAGGCTGCCAGGTACAGCCAGACAGGCTGTGCACTGCACAACAAATCATACCCCAAATAACAGCCCAAATGGTGGTATGCAGTGCTGATAACAGCCCAGCTTCCCTAATCCCCTCGTGCACACACAGAGATATTAAAAAAAAAGAAATCCTAGTTTTGTCCCATGGAAAAGTCACAGGAAGTTACTGGAATAATCAAGAAAAGTTTTGCTTACAGTTAAAGCATAGTCTTCTTTCTTAATCTCTGACTTCTTAAGTTTATTTCTTTTCGGAGCCTCCGTAACCATTTCTGAATAAGACACTTCAAAAGACAGTTCTTCAGCCTCTGGTGGAACGTTCTTTTCCAAATAATCATCATCTAAAAAACCAAAGAATATAGAACATTTGATATGCCATTTAATCGACCAACACCATTTTCTGTAAAATAAACACAAACTATTTACAAGTTAATCCACAAACACGTCGGAATGTTGATATCCAAGGAAGAGCAGTGGAGATGTGCCCACAATAGTTCAGTTAAATAATAATGTGGTGTCATTGGACTTCCATAGGAACATGTTTTTATCATCATTATCCAAACAAACTTTGTATTTAATCTGACTTTTTAAATTTTAGATTTTTATGTCTCATGAAACTCGCTGATTATTAAAGGGAAGTCCAAAAATGGAATATTTATTTATATTATTATGATATTAAAATTAAGCCCACCTGGACCCAATGTGACTGTTATCAGGGCATGAGAAATTTAAAGCAGAGAAAGAAAGGGTGGAATCCTAGAATTCCTCTCCACTCTACTGCTCTTGTCCCCCCGCCCCCCAAACAATGGAATATTTGCCTCTTAAGATTTGTTCAAATTTAATTTGGATTTCACTGCTGTTTGTTAAGGCGAATTAATTTGAACTTCTGTAATTTGATATTGGTTACCTGACCTTGTATGATATGCATTGAGAAAAAGCTGAATGGGTTACAAGCAATGCTCCTTATACATTCTTTTCCTCAAGCTAGTTTGAACATTAAGACAAAGATTCCTTGATCAAAACCAAGTGAATCATTTTAACGATAATGATTCTACCAATCCATGAGCAAGGTAGGTTTTTCCATCTGTTTACATCTTCTACAATTTCTTTTTTTAGTGTTTCGTAGTTCTCCCTGT